GGACGGACGAGCCAGAGCATCCTCTGTTTGAGAGACCTACCTCACTCCCCCCCTACCTCCAGCCTGACATCCTCCCCCCACCACCATCCCCAGCCTACTTTGAGGGCGTGTCAATAAAATGATCAACCTCGGCGTAACGCGTTCCGTCTGCCTCTCGTAAAGGTGAGTCTCCCAACATCTGTTTTATTGTTGATCGTAAACTTGTGTCTTACCCCTCCTTCTCCCCCCCGCTCTCCCCCTCCACATCCCACTTCCCCTTTTCTCCCATAGTGAACGTGTGTTTGTAGGGAGGGAAGGTATTCTGCTTGTGTGCGCGTGCGTATGTGCGTGCGTGTGCGTGAGAACGAGTGAGTCTGCCTCACCTTCATCGTCGTCAGAAGCGCAACCGGAGCTCCTCTTGCGGATGCGGCTCCCGCTGCCCTTCCCCTTGACACTCCTGAAGCGGTCGAAGGTGCGCGTGGGGAGGCTCCGCGACGTCTTGAGGCCCTCCTCACCTGAGTCCTTCCTCGAGGAGCGGAACAGTCGCTCGCGAAACGACGGCGAGTCCTTGTCGCCCTTCCGGGGCTTCAGTTTGTCGCTGTTCGACCGCCTGTTCCCGGGGCGCGTCGGCTTGGCGGTCGGCTCCACGAATTCGCTCACGCTCCGCACGAGCACGCGGCTCCTCGCGCGCGACAAGTCGTCCGAACTCCGCTGCTTGTACACGCGCAGCGATCCCTCCGCCTCCTGGCTGCGGCGCTTGGTCCGGTAGTCGAGCGTCCGCGACTTGATGGTCGGGGACTCCATGCCCGCCGACAGCAAGAAGGACCTGCCGGAGGAGGCGCTGCCAGGGGTGTCGGGGGTCCCGGGGCTGTCAGACAAGCCCTGGAACGAGGAGGAGAAGGACGAGGACTCTGCGAGCTGGTGGCCGGCCGGGGAGGCGGGGGAGTCCGCCTTCTCGCGGACCTTCTTGCGGGCGTCCCTTTTGGGCCGCGGCGGGGGGACGGGGGGGAGGTCGTTGGTGAAGTTGATAAAATCCCCGGGAGAGACGCCATCGCCGGCGCCCGTGGCCGCCAGCATCTGCGTAGCGACGCTGAGGGCGATGTCCTGGCGCATGCTCGGCGAGAACGTGCGGTTATCCTCGGGGGACTTGGGGTTGCTGTCGGCGTCGTCGCCGAAGAACACCTTGTCCGAGCCCGGCGAGCGAACGTCCTCGCCGGCAGGGATGTTCTCCTTGAGGTCCTCGCAGAACTGGTCCCCCTGCAAGCACATGCCGTCGCGCTTCGAGTGCGCGCGCTCGCGCCCCGCGCCGCCCATGCTGATCGGGAACTCCTGCGCCATGAACAGCGACTTCCTTCTCTCCCGCAGTTTGACCTCCTTGTCCAGGTAGCAGGTCTCCGGGCGTGCTTTGAGGCCGAGCCTTTCGGCTTCCTCATTCCTCATGTGCTCCCTCATCAGGAAGGGGTTGGCCTCCTCCTCGTCCCCGGAGGTCGAGGAGATCGCGAGGCTGCTCCTCCGCCGCTTGACGACGCCCACCTCGTCGTCCGTGTAGAACTTGGCCATGGACTCCGGCCGCGGCACCGACGGCAGGTCCTCCACGCCCAGGTTGATGGTGAAGCGCTTGTTGGCCGCCCGTGTCGCCCGGCTGTCCGGCGAGCCCTCCTTCGCTCGGAAGACCACGGGGCAGTCTGGCGAAACAGGGAGAGGCTGAGCTTTATCTTGAAACAACAGCGAGGAAGAAGAATACAAGACTTACCATATATGATCAACCAGTCTAGTCTACATCTATACCACACATATAGACAGAAACATCTGACAGTATTAAACAAGACTGACACGCTCGCAAAAGACTGACCTTCCTCGTGGGTGACGGCGAGGGCGCCGAAGGCCATGTTGCCGACCGGCTTGTTCTTCCGCCGAATGATCGACTTCCACACGCGCTTCGCCATCTTCCACCCGGGCGATGTCTGTCGGCTGCTACTCCACCTGGTCCGCTTCTGCCTTGCTTCTGGTCTCCGGGGCCGTGGCTGGTCGGCTGGCACGCGCACTCCACTCTCTGACCACTACATCGCGGGGCCTTTCATGCCGGCACGAAGGGACTGCACTCGCGGTTAAAAAAGGCGCAGATACGAACAATTTCTAACACCTAAAGGTACTAAAAGCACTTTGACGAGACGCAGAGCCCGTGCATCCCACGCACTCCACTGCAGACTCCAGCACTCCCTCGATCAGCCGGTGCAGCCTCATCGGCGCACGGGAACACATGGACAACGATCCACCAAAACTCAACCGACGGATCAACCGAAAGATGCACTCCTCTTTGCCAAGGCTCCCCGCAGCTCCACCAGAGACTCTCCGGCCTCAGTTCGAGCGGGAAGGACGGAGGAGGACCCGGCGCAGGAATGAAGGAACTGAATCCATGCTAGTTCCTCCGGGAAGACTAGCCTCCAAGGGCACCGCTCGAAGGACCGTTTCTCAAAGGGCTTAGCGCAGCACCGACCGAGGCATCCCGACGGCAGGCACT